GCAGGGCAGCCCCCAGCAGCGGGGACGGGCGGCAGTGCGCGGCAGGAAAATGGCGGCGGCAGGCTGTGTGTGTAGACGACTGCCTCGAACACACGAGGAGAGAGCGAGAGAGAGAGAGAGGGGCGTGCCGCGCTGCCTCTCTCATGGGGTTCTTCTGCGCCAGTTTTGCATTTCCGGGCTTTTCAGCCAATCAGACGGGACCTAGTCCTGCCCCTGCTTCTGGCCACTCCCCTGCACCTGCAGCAGCTGCTCCCCCCCCATACACACAGAGGGGGTTTCCTGCCGCGTGGAGACACCGTTTTAAGTCAGTTTTGTCGGCTGACTCAAAGGACATTTCATGTTCGTGTAAGGAAATACCTGGTCCTTCACACCTGTACACCTGTTAACCAACCAAGTTGCCTCAGGCAAATCTAGCAGGGTGGAATCACTCAGTTAATCTTCAGTAATGCCTAATCTTTATGTAATATTTGGACTTGAGGACACTAGCAAACCTTTTGGAAAAGAAAACAAAAGCTCAGGGAAAGCCATTGAACATTTATGATGCAATAATCCATGAAATAAACTGTTAAATTGGCACTTTTTTTGCCAAAATTCATTAATTCACAGATGTAGCAGAGACTACTAGGTTTTATAACACAAATTCAGGTAGGAATCCTCAATATCTTCTAAATGTTCTTCTTTGATCAATTTTTTTTTTTTTCCACAAAAATGGCATAAACAGAAGGATATATGGACAAATTCACAGGAAGATGTGTTATTTAATTTAATCTTTAAACTGTGTAGTGCAAAAACTACTGAGCCTAGAATTACCTGTCTCTAAGGGGTCTTGGTGTATCAGATACAGTCACAATTCCTTTCTTTCCTTTTGTCTCTCTCCATAAATCTTGTGGTTCCACTCTGTGTAAGGTTCAATTTCAAAGGGCAAACGGGCAGGGACTGTGGAGAAGTACAAATGTGTTTCTCTCCAGACCTGTCTATATAATCTGGTGGTTACAAATCTTCTTTTATGGGAATGACATTTTACAAGTTCATCAATTCTCTTACTTTTGGGGCAAAATGCTCTTAATCCCCAGAGAAGAGCACCAAGTTTGAATAATGTCACCAAGAAAGAAAATCATTAAAGGCTGCACAACCACCCAGGGGACACAGTGCTCAGCTAAAATACTGACACACAGCAGAACAAGAGCGAGGATTTATGTGCTTTGGTCTCTGGGATCCAGAAGCTTTATTCTATGCAGCCACACCTATCACACGTTAATGCTTCTTTGGATCTTATATATTTCTTGCACTAAAGCCACCCCCCACCAGTTATACTAAGCTTTCCTATTATTTTAAGTGTTCTTTCTCTGACTGAGGAGCTTTTGTCCTTGAGAGTATGCAGCTTTCACATAAAGTAGTATTAGCTGCATATACAAATGCATAGTTCTTCATACACATTATAGCTATTTTATTTAGGATTTTTACAACAGGTAGAACTGTTTATGTCAACAACTAAATTCTCCTCTCTTTCAGCTTCGTGGTGGGTCCTCAATAACAACTAGAAGCTGTGGTTCCAAGTAATGTTAATGTTGCATTGTTTTGCATTACAACAGCATGCATATAGGAGTGCATGGGTGTGCTGGGTTCTAAGTTTATGATGTGATAGTCTTTGTTATTATAGATGTGATCTTTTCCATGTGACAATATGGAAAACTGCACATTACTACCTTCTTGTGACTAGTTCAGTGAGATGATGCATTCTAAAAGCTGAAATAAGACAACTATGCTAAGCTGTTTACTGTGTATGAGTACATTCAGTAAAAACTGTCACAGAAAAGTGCATTGGTATGACTTAATATTTGTGAAAAGTTCTAGTCTTACGTAAATAAACAGTTGTTACTTAATGCTGCCGTTTTCTCCTTTTACAGTAGAATCAGGTATGAACCTTAGTACAGATTTTCATAAATGTCTTGCACTTCAGAGAAGCTGCAAGTCATTAATTAGGATAATAAACACAGGGACAACTTTTTGTGTCAGTACAGAACTTCATTCATACAATAAATTCTCTGCTCACGACAAGACAGGGCAGTACCATTTTCTCTTTACAGCCTCTAGCCCTGACCCTCAAGAGTAAACACGTCTGCCTGTCTGCTAAGCTGCTTTGGATCCACAGACTTAACATTTCACAACCAATCTGCTTTGAACTCTATGTCCTGAACACTTGAAAGATATTTCATTAGCTCACTGGGAAGTCATTAGAGAAACCGCTATTGGAGCATAAATAGCCATAAACCTGGAAGGAGAAATACTTTCCTCCCTAAGAACTCTTGCTGTTGTCCCTGGCACCTGAGCAGTAGGTGTGTCCTCCAGATCCACGAATGAAAGGCAAGTGACTATTGTAACATCACACTACGACCACAGGTTGACAAGCTCTACATGCTAATTGAACACTCTCTCCACTCATCTTGCAGTCCAAGGCGACAAACAGTACCCAAAAGGTAACATGCAAGTTGTACTCAATAAAATAATATTCTTCACTGTAGGATTTCTCTATTTTTTATTAAATTTAATGAGCACATTACCATACGTAATTAAAAGTGGAGAATTTAGATTACAAACAAGTCAATCTTAATTGCAGGTAGGTTCATATTCCACAAACCAGTATTAAGCTCAAGGTTAAGAAAGGTGCCACATTTAGGTACCTGCACGTGACCATGGCATCTTAGCTCCTATTATATCAGTAGAGTTCTGAGGCAAGATCAGTTGCCAAAACAAATGCCTCTAGTACATGTTAGATGCCTTAGAGTATCCTCACTGGTCTCCGGCTCCCAGCTGATGGACACAAGTTAGATGGTGTGTCACTTATGCCAGCCCCATGCAGCTGCTTCAGATATCCTGCATGCCTCAGGTAACATCAGATGCTTACATTTAGGCATCTGAATAAAAGCCTTTGTCGATAAAGATGCTCAGATTCTCTAAGCAAATATGGATGTCAGAAAGTGATGCCCACACCTCTAAATTTAGGTGCCCATGTTAGGAACAAATTTCAGCTTTAAATATTCTTACAGTAACTCAGCAAAAGTGAATGTTTTTAATACTGAAGTTTTCCCGTATTGACACAATCCAACTACCAAATCTGTTAATTCTTAAAAAGCCACCCAGGTAGCCATATCAGACACACAAATGACAATCCAGTGAAAGTTTAAGGTTTAAAGTTTAAAAGTTTGTCTTTAGCAAAGTAAAACTACTCATATTTCTGAAGATCTGACTGGCTTTTTTCCTATGCCAAGATGTTGATCTAGTGTGTGCCATGTTTTATTTTGTCACTACTGATCAACCAACAAAGAAAATACAGGGACATGTGACACTGATGAAGGGTAAACCCTTAGAGTGAAAACTGACACACCATACTGAGGTTTATGATGTTTTTCCTTTTCACCAGATGAATGATATTAAAATTATTATTAAAATAATCTGCTTTAGAACTTCATGCCAATAGGTGCTGAAGGAGGAAAAAACATTCTAGTAGGTCATACATGCTTCAGTTATTCTCCTTTGTATATTTACTAGTAAACAAACACTTTGATGAATCATACACAAGAACAAGTTTGAGAAGTTTCACTTAGGAGTTCTGCGAGCTACACACAGAAATTCCCTTGAACATAAACTGCTGAAAGAGATCCATAGTACTTATTCTAAAAAGCTCCCAGTGATTAAAAAACATGCAAACAAAAAATACGTAAGTTCCTTGCAACATTACTTGTAAACAATATAAAAATAGAATACACTTAGAAGCTTATTTTAACTGACTAACTGGTGCTAAACATAAAACTAATTCAAACAAGTTTATTTCCATAGTTCAGGGAAAGAATCTAGTGTATAGCAAATGAAACTTACAAGTTTTCTGCTCTATTGCAATTACCATTTGACACATTCTCATTTAGCTTTCATTTGTGATAGATGTTAAAAAACTGCCTTCTGTGCCGAGATGATGTTATTGTAGGTCTGAATACAGGTTTTTTAAGAAAATTATATTAATACCAAATATCTATTACTGCTGCTTGTCAACTGAAGGATGTGTTCAGGAAATACTCAGGCTACTGCTTTCTACTTCACTATTAAATATTATTCTGATTTAAGAAAAAAAGTTATAGAATTATTATGTATTGGTATACCCATTTACCCATGAGACATGATGAAAATATGTCTTTTTCCTCAATTTTGCCCATTACTTCCATGTTTCAAACTCAAAAATACCAGGCGATTATTTACAAAGAACTTTGTAATGCAATACATGGACAGTTATCTTGTTCTGAGCCATTATAACAGAAGGTTTTGAATTTTAGTGCAACTGTTAGTAAAAAGTTTGTACCTTGAAGAGAGGTATATTAAGGAAACTCTTGTGTGGAGATGGAGATTTCAAATGAAGAAAGCAATGAAATGAAGTTTGGAGGTGTGGGGGGGTGGAGAAAACAACCTAGATCAGTACATACCCTAAGACAGCTGAGATCTGACACAGATTTGACTAAGACAGTATTTGTTGTTCCATTATTACTGCTAAGGAGAGGAGGTGGGAGCAAGCAAAAAGCCCCAGTCAAGTATTGGTTTAGAATTTATGGTCAGACAAACTACACAGACAAACCATATGGCTACATAACACAGACAATTCAAGGACAAAATTCTGTCACAGCAAAATGTAATATTTTTTATTTTCACTGTAATCATATTACCATCTCAGGCATTACAAATTCAAGGTTTGACTTTTAAAGCATTCATAGGGTCCTACTTTAATTTGTAGCTTCAAAAATCTTTAAGATCTACATCATATGTAGCTCTTTCATTGATGGATTTCTTATCTTGCAAACAACCTGTCACTTCTTGCATATGTCAATAAAAGGGTTGCTCTTTTCCTGCAAGACAAACAAACCCTCCAATTACTTCAGTTATAAAAAGCATGTCTTCACAGGTCTACTTACATGTACACTTACATTTAAGTACATCCATGTACATTTAAGAATTTGTCTTTTAAATTAATGCAAACAATTATACTTTCATATATATATACTTTCATTAATCATAGACATTTAACCTCAAATTTTTCTGGCAGACTTTGTCAACCTAGTAACGTGACTTCAGTTCAAATGCTGAGCTATGTATAGGTAGGACTGAGTCTCAGATCTCCAAGACCACCCATGTCTTCTGGGATGAAAGCAACTCAGAGCCCACTAACTGTAACAACAGCATCTCCCTTGTACATGTCACTCCAGGAAGCTTTCTCCATCTGAAAATATGGCTTCCACTCATAGACAGGCATACACTTTAGCAGTACCTTCAAAATATAAAGGAAGTCTTAAGATGGGCCAGAATCAACTGAATACTCAATTCACCAGCAAACTTCTGACCATCATGCTTGACTGATCTGATAGCCTTCTACGAGGTTGTGACTGAATGGGTAGATGCAGGGATGTAATCTACCTTGACCTTAACAAGGCTTTTGACACTGTCTCCCATAACATCCTCATGAGCAAGCTCAGGAAGTGTGGGTAGGAGAGTGGACAGTGAGAGGGATTAAGAACTGGCTAAACAACAGAGCCCAGAGGGTGGTGATCAATGGTGCAGAGTCCAGCTGGAGACCTGTAACTGGTGGAGTTCCCCAGAGATCAGTGCTGAGTCCAGTCCTGTTCAACATCTTCATCAATGACCTGGATGAGGGCACAAGAGTGTATCCTCAGCAAGTTTGCTGATTATATGAAACTGGGAGGACTGGCTGATTCACCGGGAGGCTGTGCAGGCCATTCAAAAAGATTTGGACAGACTGGAGAGCTGGGCAAAGAGGAACCTAATAGGTTCAACATGAGTAAGTGTAGAGTCCTGCACCTGGGGAGGAACAATATGCACCAGTACAGAGTAGGAGCCGACCTGCTAGAAAGCAGCTCCTTACACTCCTGGTGGACAAGTTATCCATGGAACAGCAATTGTGCCCTTGTGGGCAAGAAGGCCAATGGTAACCTGGGGTGCATTAAGAACAGGGTGGCCAGCAGGTCGAGGGAGGTTCTCCTCCCCCTCTACTCTGCCCTAGTGAGAACACATCTGGAGTATTCTATCCAGTTCTGGGCTCCCCAGTTCAAAAGGGACAGGGATTTACTTGAGAGGGTCCAACAGCAGGCTACAAGGATGATTAAGAAATTGGAACACCTGTTTTATGAGGGAAGGCTGAGAGACCTGGGGCAGTTTAGTCTACAGAAGACTGAGAGGGGATCTTACTAATGAATATAAACCTCTGAAGGGTGGGTGTCAAGGAGGCGCCAATATTTTTCAGTCATGCCCTGTGATAGGATGAGAGGCAATGGTACAAACTAAAACACAAGAAGTTCCACCTTAACATGAGGAAAAATTTCTTTATTATAAAGGTTATGGAGCACTGGAACAGGCTGCCCAGAGAGGTTGTGGAGTCTCCTTCTCTGGAGCCTTTCAAGACCCATCTAGATGTGTTTCTGTGTGACCTGCCCTGGTGGTCCCGCCCTGGCAGGGGGGTTGGACTGAATGATCTCCAGAGGTCCCTTCAAACCTCTAACATTCTGTGATTCTGTGACAACCACCTACTCCTCAATACAAACTCACTGACATATTGCAAGACTGTCTTTTCCTCATTGGAAGTTTATTTGGAGGCCTTCTTCTACCTGTTTTTAGCATCATCATTTCATTTACACAGGCATTTCATCAAACTCTCTTATACACCTATAAGCAGACTCCCAAATAACTGAAAAATCAATGTCTACAATAAAATCACACACTAAAATACCAGTGTACAGTTTTATCCTATACTAACAATAAAAAAAAATTTCTACTCAATTCAGAAAAAAACAAGAGCTGTCGCTGACCAGTTTTCTTATTTATAATTTGAAACTAACTTCTGAAGTATGACTGGCATTCTAGTATCACCTTTATATGCTAATGAGATCAGTACATTTGCAAATCCCTTTTCAACACTGTCTTCAAGATCACACAACAAATTTACCAGCTTTTACTTTCTTCTAATGAGAACAGGATTTTTTTTTTTCCTTCCCCTTCCTACTCAACAATCTACGCATTGTGCTTAGGACAATAATGACAGCTCAGTGATACATGTTATGTTATTGTAATACAACATCGTGCCTAGTAGGGGTTTGTAATTTTGCCCTCCCCGTTTGTGGCTGAATAGGATGAGAAAATTCACTGCTTTTTTTTATTGGTGTGATGAGCTAGTATATACAGGTGGGAGCTTACATACACATAACTAACACAAAGCAGAGGAAAGGCATTAAGAGCAAGCCTCACAAACTGAGACACTCTTCTTTCTAAAAAGACAGATACAACTTGTAACACTTAGGACATCATCATACAGACATAGATTCTCCAGCCTCAAAACAATCTCCTTGAAACACATGCAAGCCACCTTGACTTGCACCAGTTTTTACTATCTTTCTTTTCTGCCACCCAAATTATTTGCAATTTAGCCATGTCATGAACAATTTTAGAGCTCATTTGTCCACTGACTCCATTTCTGTGAGGGTCCTCCTTTGCCTAGGAACATAACCGTATGAAAGTGTATATATTACAAAACTGCCTCTCTTAAAACTCAAGAGACAGAAAGGGGAGGGGGAGGGGGGAAGGCTAGGAAAGTAAACAGTTTTAACTTCTCTATCTGCAGGCAGGTTTTCAAAGAAGTAAAGCTTTCATCCTGAGGACAAATATAACAGAAAGACGCAAAAAGTAAGATCAGAGAAGGCCAATTACTGTCATATATTAGTTCAACTTTGTTTTTCCAAAGAATATAAATTTATAAAAGTTTAAAACTGCCTCAAGTTGTGGTCAACACAGTAGTCATCTGGATGTATTTCTCCAGGATAGAAATAATATTTCTACAAAAATCACACCCCAATAGCCTCAAATATACTTACTGGCTTTTCAAGGACAACTGGATGATCAGGAAGAGATTCTGGCTTCTTCTGAGAGAGAGAAACACTTGAAAGTTTCAGAAGGAAATCTCTGCTGTATTTGATCCTTTCTGTAAAAATACAAAATTACTAAGTTCAACATTGTTGTTAAGGCATTAAGGTTGGGAATTCAGAGACTGGATTGGGTTTTTTATAGAAGGGGGGAAATGCTGCATGTGGAACATGAAAATCAGTATTAAAACCAGCAGTAATTAAAAGTCTGACCTTACATCGGGACAATAGGTAGTAGATTATCAAGCATTTAATCACACTGACTTAGTAAATATTGAGGACTATTCCAAGCTAATAACGTTTTGCTGTTTTAATACAAAGGAACGCAAAAAAGGTGAATCCAAGCTTACAGTAGACACTCTCTCTCTATCTTGCTTTAATTAACAAAAACACTACAAACTCATCTTGAAACCGTAGAAGAAAATCTGTATATAACTCACAGCAAAGTGGCATGTTTCTATGGGACAGACAACAAAACCCGAGTGTCTCCCTTCTTAGAGTTATTAAGTTGATATCTTTCAACAGGTAAAAGTAATTAGGAGATCTGATACATGTAAACTGGCAAACAGATTAATACCAGCGACATAGTTTTGAGGGTTTTCCACTGAATGAATACAAGTCGGGCTTTGCTCAGAATGTGCGTGTCATAATTCAAATTTGTACCACTATCTCTACTCTAGCATAGATATAGTGTGTCTACCCATGTCCATATTTTAAGCTGATATTCTTAAACAAGTGCGGAAATAAGGAAATAAGGAATTAGGCAAGGTCTGAGATAAACTCTACCTCTGGTCCATGGAGACAAACAAGTTTGTTACTTTAGGCATTATGAGCCTTCTGTAGACTGTTACACAGTCACTGGATTGACGACAGTTTTTTGCTTCTCAGGCTGGAGGATTTTGACAAGAGAAGCCACAAAGTCAAATATGAACAGGTATTTTCCTGCCTTTCACCAGAAGCGACAGCAGTAACTGCCTGTAGACTGTTACACAGTCACTGGATTGACGACAGTTTTTTGCTTCTCAGGCTGGAGGATTTTGACAAGAGAAGCCACAAAGTCAAATATGAACAGGTATTTTCCTGCCTTTGACCAGAAGCGACAGCAGTAACTGCTGAACCTATGTGAGGGCATGAGGATAACTTTTAAAAAGCATGCTTTAAAGAACACGAGCATACTTGAAAATTTACAGCTTTTTCTTTCCTTGTTGAAAAACATATGAAGATTGACTACTGCCATAAGTAGCACTACTGTATTATCTGCAGATGGGAGAGGTATTAATTTGATGGCTGTGGTCAATGACTCAATGTCCAAATGGGAGATCAGTGACAACTGGTGTCCCTCCAGGGTCTGCACTGGGACCAGTACTGTTTATTACCTTCATCAGTGACACAGACACTGGGATCAAGTGCACCCTCAGAAAGTTTGCTGATGACACCAAGCTGTGTGTTACAGTTGACACACCTGAGATATGGTATGCCATCCAGAGGACCTGGACAAACTTAAGCAGTAGGCCTGTGTGAACCCACCTCATGAAGTTCAAGAAGTTCAAGGGCAAGGTCCTGCACCTGTGCTGAGGAAACCAATACAGTTTGGGGTATGAAGGGATTGAGAGCAGCCCTGCAGAGAAGGACTTGGGGGTACTGGTGGATAAAAAGCTGGACATGAGCCTGCAATGTGCACTTGCAGCCCAGAAAGCCAACCATATCCTAGGTTGCATCAAAAGAATCATGGCTGCAGATTGAGGGAGATGATTCTGCCCCTCTGCTCCACTCTGGTCAGGGACCACATATGAAGTACTGTGTCCATCTCTGGACTCCTCAGCACAGGAAATACATGGACTGGTTGGACTGGGTCCAGAGGAGGGCCATAAATACAATCAGGGCTGCAGCACCTCCCCTATGAAGACAGGCTGAGAGAGTTGTTCAATTTACAGAAGACTCCAGGGAGACCTTATTGCAGCCTTTCACTATTAAACAGCAGCTTACAAAAGAGACAGGGCCTGTTACAATAGGACAAAGGGTAATGGTTTTAAACTGAAAGAGAGTAGATTCAGACTAGGTATAAGGAAGCAATTTTTTCACTGTGGGGGTAGTGAAACACTGGCACATGTTGCCCAGAGGGGTGGTTGGACAGGGCTCTGAGCAACCTGATCTGGTTGAAGATGAGTCTGCCCATGACAGACAGGCTGGACTAGATGACCTTTAAAGGTCCCTTTCAACCCAAACCATTCTGTGATTCTAAGAAAAAGCAGGGAAGTGATTGAGATAGCAGTAAAAAGCACTAAAGAACTGTAAAGACAGGTAATTGAAGGCATACTACCACTGAACTGATTTAAAATGGTTATTATTATGTAGGATTTTAGGTACAGTTGGAGATAGAAATGGAGTTCCAGTGGGAATTTTGCTCTGAAGGGAATGATTAGAACCACCAGCAAACAAACAAAGCCCCTGGAAAACAAGTGTTGGAAAAAGTTTTACATTATTGACAAATTTGGAGTAGATTCAGGAGGTTCAGGAAGCATCACAGAGCAATTAACCACTAAAATATCCAAAATTATGGCTTATACAAGAGATGAGGATCAGATGAGAAGCCATTTAAGATCTTGTAGACACCACAGTCTCTACCCAAAAGCAGAAACAATGAGAAAGGCTCAGAAAGCCACCATCAAATAGATGGAACTTGACAAGCCTGACACCAAACTGGATCTAAAGAACATAATTCTATTTACCAAGATGAAGAAAAAAAGAAACCAATCTGAGCCTAAAAGGGGACACATGGAAGACTTCCTTTCAAATCAGTAACACATGACAGTGTAAAATCACTGCATAAGAACCTGATGGTATCCTCAGACTGCAGAAAGATCTGAAAGTCTCAATAAAACCTAGGAGAACTCTTTCAATTCTTGAGAAAAGGGCAACAGAATGAACGAAGTCTCAAGGTATTATTTAAAGCTCGGAGATTACAGATAGAGATTTGAGATGCCTGATTAACAGGAAAAGATAGTCTCAGTGATCTGATGACCTAGACTTGGGTCACTGTTGCAGTTCCTGTGACATGCTAAAAATGAAGAATCAGGTAGGAAGAAATGCAGAGGAAGACTGTGAGGATATGTTTAGAATCTGAGATTATCCCTTAATTAAAAAAAAAAAAAAGAAAAAAAAAAGTCTTGTTTGTTTAAACTACCAAACAATGAAAAAAACCTATTATGATTCATGAGTCCAGAGAGTCAGCCAATACATAAATAAAAGCACAAAGAGCTAACCTTAAGGACAGTGTTTACACAAGAACAAACTGTCCAGAACAAATAGTAACACAATTAAGTGATCTCTAACCATCAGAAAATCAGTATTTCAGAAGCACTGCAGTTAAGAATAGGAAAAGAAAGTAAAAATACTATATTCTTAAATTGGTTGCAATCAGTAGTCTCAGTAGCCGTGACTGACCCCTGCAACACGCTAAAGGGTGCAACTCAAACCTGTACTTCTACACACAGAAGTAATTTACACAAAACCAGCATTTTGCATGAAGAAATTTTTTTATGCTCAGGTGCTCACAGTTTGTTCTTTCTTGGTTTTGTTGTTTGTTTTTTTCCTTGGGTTATTTTGTTGTTGGCTTTGTTTTTGTGGATTTTTCAAAAGACAGGTACACCCTTATATGCAAGTAAGGTTTCATACTGCTCTCAAATTGTGGTACAGAAGGAAGGCAAATTCTCAAAGCACTGGCTAATTAAAAAACCAATAACATACAATTCTGACACAAATCTCCATGCAGTATCTTACCTTTTTTTGCTTTCGATTCATGCTGGTTTGGTTGACAGGGCATCATAGTTTGAGTTAAAATCTTTGCTTCAGTCTTTTCAGATAACTAAAATAGGAAGGAAAGAGTTAATGATTTTTTAATATATTTTACAAAATTAAGTTATGAAGCTTGTTTTCTTTAAACATATTAAAATATGGATCTGCATTTCTTAGTTAAAAAAAACAAAAACATTTGTAGCACCATTTCAGTAATCAACTTTGCTTTTACCAGTCTCCAAGATTTTGGACAATTAATACTTTCTATGCATGAAGGAAACTGGATTCTGTTCTTTTTTCTACTCCATGCAACTGAATCACTGTCTTTTTTACAGTTTAAGAACAGAAACAGTCTTGCACAAATTACACAGTAGTCAGAACTGTAGCTATTTATAACACCTGATGCACCTCTAACTTGAAAGATGAAGGTCCAGCAAGAGAACTGCAGAAAACTAAACTGGAACACACGTAACATAAAATGCCTGACAAGTTTAAATTGAACGTGTAGAATATTTGTGACTCTTCGTTACATACAAGAATAGTTCAACAACCTTTAAAACAGTATAGATAGACACTTTTGAGACAGCAATCTGACAGAATTTTGCAGTGCTATTGCTAGTTTTTAAGAAAACCAGCCAGAAGCTGCTACACTGGGAAATAATAAAAGTGGAAAGGACTTTCTTTAAGGCCAACAAGAGCAACTTGGATTCTCTCACTTAGCACAAGGTTTCATAAGCATTCAAGAACACAACATCTACAGTGTAACACTGAGTTCCTTCCCATTGCTAAAACCTTGAAGTAAGTGTTTCAGGAAGTATGAAAGCAGTTTATCTTCAGCAGTTTGGCTTGGCTTCCAAAACACTCCACAGGTTTGTCTAAGGAATTGTAATCTCATTCTGAGAGAGAATTTGTATTTATTTTTTTGGAGGGAGGAGCAGACATGGGACAGGAGGAATTGAAAAATCTGGGGAAGCACTTGTCAAAAGCAGAAGAGGTCCTATTTTCTGGACAGAGACAGCAGTTAATGCTTTGTCCTGTAAATTTACCACCAACTTTCAAGATGCACTAAGACTAAAAATTTTAAAATGGTAAAATATTTCTAGCATATTATCCACACTGCCCACACTTAGATTTTCTGCAGTTGAAACTTAATCCTAGCAAAGTTTGGGTTGGAAGAGCCTTCAAAGATCATCTAGTTACAACTCCCCTGCCATAGGACAGGAAACCTCCCACTAGATCAGGTTGCTCAAAGATCCATCAAACCTGGCTTTGAACACTTCCAGGGAGGGGGTGTCCACAACTCTGGGCAACCTGTTCCAGTGCCTCACCACTCCCATAGTGAGAAATTTCTTCCTAATATTTAATCGAAATCTAACCTCTTTCAGCTTAAAACATCCTATCACTGCAAGTCCTTGTAAAAAGCTCTTCCCCAACTTTCCTCTAGGGCCCCTTCAGGTACTGGAAGGCCACTATAAAGTCTTCCTGGAGTGTTTCCTTCTCCAACTTGAACCACCCCAGCTCTTTCAGCCTGTCCTCCTAATAGAGGCACTCCAGCCTTATGGTTGTTTTTGCAGCCCTCCTGTGGACTTCATACAACAGGTCCATGCACTTCCTGTGCTCAGGACTCCAGACTGGACACAGTGCTTCGGGTGGGGTTTCATGAGAGCAGAGCAGAGGGGAGAATCATCTCCCTTGACCTGCTGGCCATATTTCCTTTGACGCAGCCCAGGGCACTGCTGGCTTTCTGAGCTGCAAGAGCATGCTGCTGGCTTATGTTGAGCTTTTCATCAACCAACACCCCCAAGTCCTTTTCCTCAGGGCTGTTCTCAATCCATTCTCTGCCCAACCTGTATTTGTGGTTGGGATTGCCCCAAAACTACGTGCAGGACCTTGCACTTGCCCTTACTGAACTTCATGAGTGCTTTGCATAAGCCCACCTCTCAAGCTTGTCAAAGTGTCTCTGGGTGGCCTCCCTTCCCTCCAGCATGTCAGCCACAACACACAGGTTGGTGTCATCAGCAAACCTGCTAAGGGTGTACTTGATCCCGCTGTCCATGTCACTGACAAAGATGTTAAACAGCACTGGTCCCAATATCAACCCCTGAGGAATGCTACTCGTCACTGATACCGACTTGGACATTTAGCTGTTGACTACAGCTCTTTGACTATGACTATCCAGCCAATTCCTTATCCACTGAGTGGTCTACTTGTCAAGCTCATGCCTCTCCAATTGCTGTGCGCTCTCCTCGCTGATCTAAGTTACCTTCTTCTGGTTTGACTAAAATTTCTGGGAAAAAAAACCTTGAAAAATGTAAGGATTTATGAGAATGAAGATAACATAATGTCAATTCCAACTGCTCTGTGTGGTCAACTAGTCTTTGCCAGTCTTGGCTATTCAAAGGCTCTTTTCAAGTACAAACAAGGATTTAACACATGCTCAAATCCGTAAGAAAAAGATAAGCATGGTAATGCAGAATTCACAGCAATGTGCCAGAAAATGTCAACGCAATATTTTTACGTAACTTCCTGCCCCATCTCCCATCACATCATCCTGCCAACTGCTTTATAGTATCACAAATTCTATTCTATTCTATAATGTTGTCTATCTATATTTTGGTAAGGCCTTTGACAGCATCTCCCACAGCATCTTCCTATAGAAGCTGGTGGCTCATGGCATAGACAGGTATACTCTGCTGGGTAAAAACTGGCTGGCTGGCCAAGCCCAGAGAGTTGTAGTGAATGGGGTTGGATCCAGCTGACAGCCGGTCACCAGTGGTGTCCCCCAGGGCTTAGTTTTGTGCCCAATCTTGTTCAGTATCTTTATTAATGACCTAGATGAGGGGACTGAGTGCTTCCTAAGTAAGTTTGCAGATGACACTAAGCTGGGAAGAAGTGTTGATTTGCTTGATGGTAGGAAGGCTCTGCAGAGAGACCTGGACAGACTGGATCGATGGGCTGAGGCTAATTTTATGAGGTTTCTGCCAGGTCCTGCACTTTGGTCACAACAAATCCATGCAAAGCTACAGGCTTGGGGATGAGTGGTTGAAAGCTCCATGGTGGAGACGGACCTGAGGGTGCTGGTTGACAGATGACTTAACACAAGCCAGCAGTGTGCCCAGATGGCCAAGAAGGCCAATGGCATCCTGGCCTGCATCAGGAATAATGTGGCCAGCCAGAGGAGAGGTGATCATGCCCCCGTACTTGGCATTGGTGAGGCCACACCTCAAATACTGTGTGCAGTTCTGGGCCCCTCACCACAAGAAGGATGTAGAGTTGCTGGAGTATGTCCAGAGGAGAACTACGAAGCTCGTGAAAGATCTGGAGAATAAGCCCTATGAGAAAGGGCTGGGGGAACTGGGATTGTTTAGTTTGAAGACAAGGAGGCTGAGGGGAGACCTCATTGGTCTCTACAGCTACCTGAAAGGAGGTTGTAGGGAGGTGGGAGTTGGCCTCTTCTTTCAAGTGAGTAATGACAGGACAACAGGAACTAGCCTGAAGCTGTGCCAGGAAAGGTTTAGACTGGGTATTAGAAAGAATTTCTTTACTGAAAGAGTGACTGGACAGTGGAACAGGCTGCTCAGGGAGGTGGCAGAGTCACCATCCCTGGAAGTATCTAAAAGAAATAGAGATCTAGTGCTTAGCAACATGATTTAAGCACTTAACTGGTAAATTAAGTTATGGTAGGGGGATTTAGGTCATGGCTGGACTTTTCGAGGTCCCTTCTGACCAGGATGATTCTATTCTATGATTCTATTATGCTTGGTTGTCAGTCCAAAACTGAACATTTGAGTATAACCACTCACAACAATACTTTTTTACATGTTCCTATCTGAAATCCACCAAAAATAATGGAATCCATCTATAAAGAATATCCCTAAAGCAGGGAATGTATTTCTCAAGCTCAAAATAATTTCTAAATGGTAGTTAAGTAGTAAATTTAAACTGATACTGGTTGATGGATCTCAAATAGATCTGAGGGTGCTGGGTTGGTGTGGTGCAGTTTTGGCCACAAGTGTGGCTCCTGTGAGAAGCTGGTGAGAGATCCCCCTGATCCAATAATTTGGCCCACCTCTGGCTAAGGCAGAGCCCATCAGCAACAATGGATTGCACCTCTGCAATTAACATACTCAGGAAGTGGAAAGAACTATGATAAGACCTCAGGGCAGAGGAGAGGGGCAGGTGAAAACAACACTGAAGCAGAGATACCAAGCTCTATGAGAAAGGAGGGGGAGGACTATGGACTACTCTGGAACTGTTTATATAGTTAGTGAAGTTTATTGCCTCACATGGAGTTATGCACATGCTAACAAAACTAAAATATATGTATTTCTAATGTTATCCTTCACACATAATAAGTAAAGATTGCATACATGTACCTTAAGTCTAAAATAGCCATCTTCAATTTAATGAAAACTGAAGAAATGCCACACAAGACTTTTATAAGACTTTTAAATAAGTAACTCATAAGATGCATCTTTCACCTACTAGTGCATGCAAATAACAGCAAAAGGCATTCCT